TGGGGGGAGGGCAGGGGGTCCTTGAACTGGGCAGGATGGGAACCCCCCCTCCCAAAGGTCCAGTCTTGCAAGGGAAGAAGCGAGTAGTTACGTTCCTGGGAGTAACGTCGTTACTAACGATCAGGAACGGCTGGGGAGCTCAGGGGCTGGGAGGGCCAGAGGTTGGGAATCCCTCCCCTGTGGAATAAAAGCCAGCCTGGGAGAAAGGGAGGGGGGAAAGCTCACCCTCCCGAGGCACCCCTGGAAGAGAGGGAAACGAGGGAACCCCTTTCTGAGCTTTCTTTCCCCTGGAAATCCCATTAAAATTTGGGATTTTAAAGCCACAAGTCAGAATTGACTTGACGGTGGTGATGAATAAGTATTGCTCGTCCTTGAGGTTTTTTTAAAAAAATAAATCTGACACAATCCTAAAATGTGCATCCCTGTTTTTTTTTTTGGAAGGGGAGAAGAATATTAAGGGTTCTTCCCTTCTCTTGCGCCCCCCCACATTTTCCCTTGGGTTATGATCATAATAAAGATGCTCCTTACAGTAATGCAGTGCCTGTCCAGATTTCTTGTGCAGCCTCCACTTCTGCCCAACCAGAGGAAGAAGCTGGCGGGGCTCCAGAGCTGGCGCCTGTTGGTGAGGTTTTACTGGCCTAATAAAACTGTCACCCTCTCTTGTTTTTTTGGATCGTGGACAAGCACAGCTCAGCCTTTTTTTTTGGGTGTGCTGGATTTATGAGTGCTGTTGGTATTAATCTTTTTTTAAAAAACTATATGAGATCTTGCCAGCGGCACAAGGATACCTTTAAGCGCTTTTAGGTTTAAGAGCTTTTTGGGGTGGAGGGAATCTCTATTACTGTCTGGCTCCCCAAAATGTTGTTGTAAATAGTTACGGCCCTTGTATTTGTAAAGGATTGTTTTCAAGCCCGCCCTGTGGATGCTGAAAATTGTGGATTATAGCAAATGCTATGTATAAGATGGTCTCTGGGTCCATATAGTGGCCATTTTTGGCGCTCTCCTCTTTCGCCAGCAACAGTTAGAACTGGATATGGAAGAACTGATTGGTTCAAAATTGGGAAAGGAGTACGACGAGGCTGTGTATTGTCTCCCTGCTTATTTAACTTATATGCAGAATACATCATGCGAAAGGCTGGACTGGAGGAATCCCAAACTGGAATTTAGATTGCCGGAAGAAATATCAACAACTTCAGATATGCAGATGATACCACTCTGATGGCAGAAAGTGAGGAGGAATTAAAGAAGCTCTTAATAAGGGTGAAAGAGGGGAGCGCCAAAAATGGTCTGAAGCTCAACTTAAAAAAAACCTTAAGATCATGGTCACTGGTCCCATCACCTCCTGGCAAAGAGAAGGGGAAGATATGGAGGCAGTGATAGATTTTACCTTCTTGGGCTCCATGATCACCGCAGATAGTGACAGCAGGCATGAAATTAAAAGACACCTGCTTCTTGGGAGGAAAGCAATGACAAACCTCGACAGCATCTTAAAAAGCAGAGACATCACCTTGCCAACAAAAGTCCGAATAGTCAAAGCTGTGGTTTTTCCAGTAGCGATGTACGGAAGTGAGAGCTGCTGACTGCCGAAGAATTAATGCTATTGAATTGTGGTGCTGGAGGAGGCTCTTGAGAGTCCCCTGGACTGCAAGGAGATCAAACCTATCCATTCTGAAGGAAATCAACCTGCTCATTGGGAGGACAGATCCTGAAGCTGAGGCTCCAATACTTTGGCCATCTCATGAGAAGAGAAGACTCCCCGGAAAAGACCCTGATGTTGGAAAGCATGAAGGCAAGAGGAGAAGGGGGCGACAGAGGATGAGATGGCTGGACAGGTTCATCGAAGCGACCAACATGACTTTGACCCAACTCCGGGAGGCAGTGGAAGACAGGAGGGCCTGGCGTGCTCTGGTCTATGGGGTCACAAAGAGTCGGACATGACTTAACAACTAAACAACAACAAAGTTAATGTTACCAGAAATGGCCAGTAGAATGAGCCAGAGACCATGCTATGTTGAGGGATTGCTATATCCACATTTTTCAGCATCTGTAGGGGGACCTTGGAACTGATCCCCCATGGATATGGGGAGGTCCTACTGTATTTTTAAAAAACCCTAAAGGTTTTGGTGCTTCTCCCCATTGAATATTTCGCTGCCCGTCCGCATTTGAGGGCTTGGCTGTCTGACACGGTGTACGGCTAACCCCCCCCTTCTCGACTCCTGCAGATGCCCCACTCCAGAAGGTTCCGCTCTTCCGAACGCAGCAGCCGGAGCAGCTTCCACAACCGCTACAGGGTACGGAAGCACAAGCGGCGACGGAGCCGCTCACGGTCCTCTAGCAGCAAGCGGCGGGCCCACCACCACCGGGAAGAGAGCTACCACGTCCGATCCCGAAGGTAAGCGGGCCTCGGGAGGGGAGGATCTCCGGGGGACGGAAAAAGCAGAAGAGCGGTGGAGCAGTTACAGGTCACTTACCGCCGCCTCGGGGGGCCGAAGTGGGAACCCCTTTTTGCCGTGGGTTGGCTTTGCTGGAGGCGAACCTTTTGCGAATCATTCAGCGTTTGCCGCCAGAGTATATACAGTGGTGCCTCGCTTAACGAGCGCCCCGTTTAACGATGAATCAGCATAGCGATGGTTTTTTTGCGATCGCAAAAGCAATCGCATTGAGATGTTTTATATGGCCGAACATCGCTTTGCGATGATCGGTAAGTGTTTTGCTTACCGATTTTCACTTAACAATGTTTAAAAAACAGCTGATCAGTGGTTCCAAAATGGCTGCCGGAAAAAATGGCCGCCTACAGTGTTTTCGCACCCTTTCCTCGCTTACCAGGCAGCGAAAATGGCGGCCAGATGGAGGATTTCCACATAGCGGTGAGATTTTCCCCCATAGGAACGCATTAATCCCGTTTTAATGCGTTCCTATGGGGTTTTTTGCTCCGCATAGCGACGAATCCGGATAGCGACGATTTTTTCGGCATGGATTATCGTCGCTATGCGGGGCACCACTATATACACATTCTTAAGGTTGGTTAAGAGGCGCCTTTGCTGCTGAATGCATCCACATAATTCTGCTCAGCTCTGCCCTTTTTCCAGCTACGAGGACCACTCCTCCGACCAGCGGCCCTTCGACCGGCGGTACTACGACGGCTACCGGCGAGCTGGGTACAGTCGCGAGCGAGGTGACGCCTACTACCTGCCCGAATACCACCCCTCCTATGAATACCAGCGTTCCCGGGAAGGCAGCTACCGCAGTTGCAAGAGCAGCCGGCGAAAACGCCGGCGGAGGCACCGACGGAGCCGGTCCTTCAGCCGGTCCTCCTCGGTGAGTCCTTCCCGGCGCCTCTGCTTCTCCCCGCCATGGGGGTCGGGAGCGCCCGTCGGGCCTGTAGAGGCAGCCTGAGGCCAATGGCATGGGATCGTTTTGTTCTTGATGGCTCTGGGAGGTCGGGGGGGGGCAGAGGTGGGGCAGACCTCTTTTTAAAGCTAGCGAGCTGCAGAAGCCCAAATGAGAACCGAGGTCTCGGGGTGTCGAAAAATGTCAATAAATCTTTATTCCTATTTTAAAATGCTCCACACCTTTGGGTTCAGGGCCAACATCAGGAGCAGTACTTAAAAATGAAGATAAATTGGCTTGCCAGCCACGAGCTCAAGGCATCTTGTTTTTCCGCAGCCCAGATATTCATTCATACAATATTGTCTGTATGGATATGAAAATGAGTACTAGCTATAGGCAGTTACAGTCGTCCTGAGCTTGTGGCATCCAAGCTTATTTAATGTTCTTTTTATACGTGAACATAAAATAAACGTATAAAAATATATATTTTAAATTATTCTACATCTGGCCCATGGCCTCCTGAAGGAGGCTGTGAGCCAAAACGCATTGGGCGTTCTAAAATCGGAATAAAGATTATCTACATCTCTCTGCATCCTGAGACCTGGTCTGTCATGTTCACTTCTGTTACTGTTGGACATACCGGCACATTTATTTTCTCCGTGGAGCCTGTAAGCTCGCTGTGAGGGCCGTAGCCCTCCCTTGCCCGTTGTTCTCTAGCTGAGAACAAGCGGGTTCTGACCCTGGAGGCAGTGGAGCCTCCTGCTCATAGATGGTATGTGTTGGCCCCAGTCCCTGCAAGTTTACTGGACCCCCTCTTCCCCTTCGAAAGCAACCCACGTGTTGATCAGAAACTCCATAAAATTGTCCCAAGGTCAGGCTGTGCCAAGACCCCAGGACTTCCAAATTCTTTTGCAGTTCTCCCTAAAGATGTGGCGAAGGGGGGGGGGAGGCTTTCACGACAGAGATCCGAAGACTGCTTGAGTCTTAACACACACCCTGCTTGGACAGAATCCATCAGGACTCCCCTGCTCCTCGTGGGTGTCTCCTTAAATTCTTTCTGGTGTGGCCATTTCCCGTTTCCCCCTGTTGGGAACCTTAAGCCCCATGGCATACAGTAGGTGCCCACCTTGTCTGGTGTCATGGCCCCTCTCTGCGGATTGTGGTAGAGTCCGTTGTGATGCGCAGTGGATGTCAAAGGCAGGGGTGGAAAGCCTTTGGCCCTCCCGAGGTTGGGTTTCAAATCCCAGAAGCCCCCGTGGCAAAGGATTCTGGGAGATGTAGTCCTTAGCCTGTGGAGAAGAACCACCGATTAAGTCGCTCTGCTCTAAGGCTGCCGGAATGATGGGCACTTAGGATGTCTCTTTCTGTTGGCTCATACACTATGGACGTGTATGGCTCGGTATTCAACCCGGTTCCTTCCACCTGCCTTGGACTGCCGTGTGCTCTTGACCCTCCCGTTGACTGGGAGGGTGCGAATGACAGTCCAAAATGTCTAGAGCGAATCCGTTCGGGGAAAGCTAGTGGGATTAGAAGCAGCTTTACGGGGGAATTTTGCGGCCCTTGCCTGGAGAGACTGGGGACCGAACCTGCGACTTCGGGTTTGCCAGCTCCCTGCCTTACCACTGGTCCACGTTCGCTTGCGTGCTTCAAAAGTTGCAGCTTGTCTGATCGAGCACGTGGCCTTGTCTTGCTCCGCGTGGGCCGTGACTCTTTACTAGACGCCGCAGACGGGTGTCTGTGTGTACGTGTGTCCTTTCCCACCTTAAGCTTTTTTGTTTGCGCTGTTTGTTGGCTCTGGCGCGGTTGGAACCCATCCCTGCAGATACCGGGGTGTGTGTGTCCTACTGTTCATCCTTTTATTAATTTTCTTTTTTAATTTAAAAATACAAGTCCTGAGCCGGTGTGTCTTACCTTGATGGTTTCCCTCCCCCCCCCTTGCACTATCCCTTATCGTTTTTATACATATCCGTGCACCTCTCGCGCCGTCTGAACTGGCCTGGGAATCCTCCTTCAAATCCGCCAACGGGCCTGCTGCTGTTTCTGCGGGCGCTGGCTGGCCCCTCCGCCGCCGGGCGAAAACGGACCGCCTTCCTCCCACCGATCTCCCCACCCGCTCCGCCGCCTGGGTCTGCCCTCGGGGGACCCCCCCTGCTCCCGCCACTTCCCGGCAGCAGAGTCACCAAAGCAGCAGGCGAGCCAAGAGCGTGGAAGATGATGCCGAAGGCCACCTCGTCTATCACGTCGGCGACTGGCTTCAAGAAAGATGTACAGCAGCCCAAATCGTAACATAATCTAGTCTCTAGTTAAGCTTCCCCCTTGCGGTCACACGATTGTCGTCTTTCCTCTGTGTTCCTTTCTCTCTCTCTATTTTTCTTTTCTGTTTGCCATAGTTACTTTTTTTTAAAGAAACAAAAAAAATACCAGATCTCTTCTTTTCCTCCCCTTTGTCTCCTACGTTCTCCGTTTCCACCACCCACCCTTCTTCCTTTCCTTTTTCACCTTGTTATCCGAATGCGCTAACGTGTTAGGGGGATGGAGGGGGGGGTTGGCCGGTTCTTTGGGCCGGCAGAAGCGGCCGTTGGGGCGATGCGTGATTAGATGGTTCCTCTGGGTGCTGTTTGCCCCCCACCTCACCCCCTTTTTGTTCTCCACCCCCTTTTTTTCTTTTTCTTGCCCTCAGATGAGATCGTCAGCACCCTCGGGGAGGGCACTTTTGGCCGGGTGGTGCAGTGCGTGGATCACCGCAGGTAAGGAGGGGGTAATGCTGTCCTTCACAGCCCTGCTCCGCTCTTGCAGACCTAAAGCTGTGGGTTCCTTTAGGGAGTTGGTCAATCTTGTCTTTGGCCCTTCCTCTTTTCCTCCTGCCTTCCCCAGCATGGTGGTCTTTTCCAGAGAACCCGGCCTTCTCATGAAGTTAGGATAGCCTCAGTTTCAACGTTTTTGCCATCCAGAGAGAGACAGTCCGGGCCAGAGTAGGACCTATCGGATAAATGGGACTTACGGAAGGGTTGGCTCATCAGATCCCCACGGATTCACGGGGTCTACTCTCTTTGCAACTTACCATATTTTTCACACCATAAGACGCACTTTTCCCCCACAAAACGGGGGTGGAAAGTCTGTGCGTCTTATGGAGCGAAGAAAACAGATTATATTTTCCTGTTTTCTTCTCCTAAAAAATTGTTGCATCTTATGGAGCGAAAAATACGGTACTGCACTAAGCAATACGCTTTTGGCTGTTGTGCCATTGAATGCGAGCAGCAGGAATGCAACTGTGGCACAGTTGTGGGGTTGTTGGTTTGGTTTTATTTTATTTTTTGCCTTCCTATCCTGCTCCGTTACTTCCCAGAGGTGTCTAGAGCAGGGAAGGCAATGCAGCACCGAAAAGCTTTCCGGTTTGGCCCAGCCGGCCTGTTCTAGTGGGCTAGAAGAGATCTTGCCAGTGGGTGCAGTTAAACTTATGGAGAGGTAGCTGCATGCGTAAAAAAAACGACCCAGTGAAATAGGGGCTAAAGGGAGGGTGGCCGTTGGTGACATTTCCATGCAGAGCGCAGATGTGCGAGAGCCGAGCCAGGCGGGTTTTCCCCGCGTCTTCCCTCCCCTTCCTCCCTGCAAGGAGCTCGGTCCTGAGATTGTGTTCTCTGCCTCGCTCCCCCCAGGGGTAACACGCGTGTGGCTCTTAAAATCATCAAGAACGTGGAAAAGTACAAAGAGGCTGCCCGTCTGGAGATCAACGTGCTGGAGAAGATTAACGAGAAGGATCCGGACAACAAGAAGTGAGTAGCTGCACCAGGGCCCAGGCAGATGATGTGCGTGTAACGTAGCGCGCCTGTTTGCACCTGTGGCATCTCCCCCCCATCCCAAGAACTCCATCTCAGGGAGCCTGGGGGAAACTTTTTAAAAAAGTTTTAAAGTTGTTGTTTTAAAAAGATAAAACATTTCCAAGGTCTGCATTTTAGTTTTTCACCTTTAGCTTGCAGTGGTTGGTGGCCAGGAGGTAGAGTTAAAACAAAACAAAACAAACAAACAAAAATCAGCGCTTCCATGGCCCCTTAAAGACTTCATTTCCGTGTGGTGTTTTTTTTTTTCTGGATTGCAGTCCACTTCTCGGAGGCAGATGGGCGGGCAAAGACGAAGGTGGCTGCTTTTTGGAGAATGGCCGCATCCTGGGCAAAGCAGCCGGGGTCTTTGTTTGGTTTGAGCGCCCTCTCGGGGAAATGAAGAGCAATCTTCAGACAGCCCCCCCCAAGAGGACTCAAGTCATGGGACTCAATGTCCAGTTGGACTTAAGTCACACCAGCAGCTCAACCTAGATTTGACTTATTCCCCCCCCCAAGACTGGACAAGCTTTTCGGAACTCGAGATGGAAGCTTTCGGAAAATGTCAGTTTTGTCCAATGTAAAAAAACAAGGAAACTTAAGTCTGACTTGGCATAAAAGTCCCGCACCCCCATCTCTGGATATGAGACCCCCAGATTCTCCGATTCTCAAGAGCAACCTCCTTCCCCCATTTGCTTTGCGTGTGTCGCCTCTTTGCGGGCGGGCAGTCGCTGGGTTCGTCCGCCGGGCTTCTTTGTCTCCTGTTTTCCAACCCCTGTCCCCCCACTTTTTGGGGGGGCTCTTCCTCCCCAGCTTGTGCGTGAAGATGTACGACTGGTTTGACTATCACGGCCACATGTGCATCAGCTTTGAGCTGCTGGGGCAGAGCACCTTTGACTTCCTGAAGGACAACAATTACCTGCCGTACCCCCTCCACCAGATCCGGCATATGGCCTACCAAGTCTGCCAGGCCGTCCGATGTAGGTACCGAGAACCTGGAGCCCAGCCTTGGGGGGGGATGTTGGTTGCTGGGGGTGCAGGGCGACCCGCTTCAGTGAGGTTTGGGGGGGGCGGCAAAGTCCTCGCTCTTTCCCTGATGTCACCCTCCCGTGAAATAATGCCACCCCCCTTCTCCTCTGCTCTCCCTCCGGTCCTCCAGTTCTGCACGACAACAAACTCACACACACAGACCTCAAACCCGAAAACATCCTGTTCGTCAGTTCGGATTACGAGATGACGTACAACCTAGAAAAGGTGAGCTCGTCCCTTCTGGACTCCGTTCCGGGTGGTGGCCGAAGCGGGCGCCATTCCCTTTCAGCGGCCCGCATGGGAGCGTTTCCCCCCCCCTGCTCTGTTTGGTTGCTGGGTGGGCACCAGAAGGCCAGGCGGGGCCGACGGGCAAGCCAGTGTTTCCTGGGGTCCTTCAACCATTCCTTCTGTGTCTTTCCCCCTCCCCCCCTGCTTGCAAGAAGCGAGACGAGCTGTGTTCTCCCCCCCCCCCCCCCTGCTTGCAAGAAGCGAGACGAGCGATGTGTCAAGAACACGGCCGTCCGAGTGGTGGACTTCGGCAGCGCCACCTTCGACCACGAGCACCATAGCACCATCGTCTCCACGCGGCACTACCGGGCGCCGGAGGTCATTCTAGGTCAGCTTGTCGCACTCCCTGGTGTCTCCTCTTAGAACGGCAGGGTGGGGAGGGACTCTAAAGATCATCCAGTCCAGCCCCTAGGGGATTCGAACTCCCAACTGAGCTATCCAGCAGTTAATAACCTTAGAAGGGCGGAGCGGGAAGGGACCTTAAAGGTCATCCAGTCCATCCATTGCCAAGGAGGACCTGGGGGGGGCACTGAGCAGTCCAGCCGATCGTGGCCGGAGGGGCCAGCCTACAAAACCTGCCAGGAGAGGAAAAGGAAGGTTGGCTTTCTGTATCTGTGCAATTTGCCCCTGACAAGTCTTTTTCTCAACATTACAGAGCTCGGTTGGGCCCAGCCGTGTGATGTCTGGAGCATTGGTTGTATCATCTTTGAATATTACATGGGCTTCACTTTGTTCCAGGTGGGTGCTTTGCAGGTGTGGCAGGTTCACCTGTAAGAGCGGTCGGCAACCTGAGGCCCTCCAGAGGTTTTGAATTCTCTTTCCCATGTTCAGTTTAGAACGTTGGTTAAATTCCTTTAGCTGCGCGATAGAAGTGTAGGGATTGGCCAAGTGGAATAGTTTCAGGTTCCTCAGATTAGTCCACCCCTTTTCTCATCAGCTGGCACTTAACAGTCTCAAGAACCGAGAGACGTTTGTAAAGAGAAAGAATAAAAAGTTTCATTACTTACAGTTGTACAGATTAAAAGGGCCAGTTGACAAACACGACTGCTTTCAGCAACAGGCCTCAACAGATTACTAACTGGCAACAGCCGACAGAGAGGGGGAAAGGCTCTCAGCAGAGAGGAGGGGCTTTCTTTAAGTTCAGGACGAAGGATTGGTTCGTGCCGGATAGACTGATTGTCACTCCAGTCCAGAAAAAGTCCCTTCCAGTCAAACTTACTAAAGGCAGCCTGCGAGGTTGCAAAAACTCCAATAAGGAGGAAGACTAAAAATGTTGTCCTGCTTTAAAAACAAACACAATCAGATGTTTAATGACTCGAGGCGCCTAATCGGGGAGGGGGCTTTGTCAGGTTCTGGCTCCTTCTTGGGAGCGTTCCCTCAGCCAGCAGACGGCACCGTTTCTTCCGAGGAGAAAGACGATCCCCAATTGTAAGGACCCCGTGGGGTTGGAGAAGCCTTTGCCGACCACCATGCATGCCCTTCTCTCTGTGCGCGATGCGCGTCTCCTGGGGCAGATAGGAACCGGATCCCAGCCACAACCGAAGGGGCAAAGCGTCCCCAGTCCTAGGCGAAGACGCCGGGCAGAGGAACAGCTAGTTTCTCGCTGGCTCCGTTGGGTGCCTGCTGGATCCTGAGGTTCAGGCAACGGAGGCTGGGGTTGGTGGGATCCCAGTCTGCTTTGGACAGATGCTTCTTAGGTCTCCGAGCCTTGGCTGGGGAGCCCTGAGCCCCAACGCCGGAAGTGAAGGCCTGTCTTATTTCTGCTTCTCCCTTCCTTTCCATCGCACGAAACGTGTTTTCCCTTTAGACCCATGACAACCGGGAGCATTTGGCCATGATGGAGCACATCCTGGGGCCCATCCCGTCTCGGATGGCGAGGAAGACCAGGTGAGCCTCTTTCTGTGCTTTTTGGGGCGGTGGGTGGGTGGGGAGGTGGTCCCTGGAAGACGGACAGAGATGCTGGTCAGATCAACCAGCTTTCCTCCTTTGGGGACAGAAAGGGTTGTCAGAGTGCGCGAGGATGAGAGAGTCACGAGTCTGATGAGAGAGAGAGAGTAAACTTGCCAGGCCCATGGCCGGCTAACTCATCTCTCCAGTGGCTTCTTCGTGGACCTCCTCGTCTCAGTCTAAGCACCCCCATCTCACTGGGAGAGGGTGGAGATTTTAACAGTGTGTTGCCAGCTTTATGACTGGACACACTTTAAGAAGGACAGGTCAATAACAGTAAGGATAATGGTAGTAGTAGTTGTCGTCATTGAGATAATAATGCTGTGTTTCTCAAAAAATAAGACAGCGTCTTCTATTACTTTTTGCTCCAAAAAATGCTTTAGGGCTTATTTTCAGGGGATGTTTTATGTTTTTTCATGTACAACCATCTACATTTATTCAAATGAAGTCCTGTCATCTTCTGGTGGCTGTCCTAGGGTGGCGGGCGGGGGTTTCACTTAACTGGGGCTTATTTTTGGGGTAGGGTTTATATGCCAAGCATCCTGAAAAAGCATACTAGGGCTTATTTTCGGGTTAGGTCTTATTTTCAGGGAAACAGAGTAGCTGCACTTTTTGGTATCTATGGGGGGGGCTTGGAACCAATCCCCGCAGGTAATGCAGTACTGCCATATATCTAGATCTAGATTTATTTTTTGTTTTTGTTTGACCTCCCCCCTTTTTTTTTTAAAAAAAGAAATCTATTGTTGGAATGGGGAAGCACAACAAGCTGTCCTCCAAAGACCAAGGATTAAGTATACATGGTGCACAAACCTCTGCAAGCTGCTTGCCCCTCCTTTAAGAGATTTTGAGTCAGTCACTGTAATGGGACCAATTATAACATCTTTTATTCCCTCTCTCTTTGTGAATAACCTGTTCCTTTATTTTTGGTTTTATGGCTGCCTAATGAAGCAACAGGGCACCTTTGTTGACTGTTAGTTTGGCACCGCCATTTTTTATATATAAATGATATTTACTCATAATAATGAAGAAATTAATTATTTCAGTTTGCCAGAATACTCCAAATGCAGCATTGTTGTAGGATATTTTGTTTTAAAAAAGAGGACTGCTACCAAGCAATGAAAGGTTTAAATCTGCACGAGTGCAGTAAAGTATCTCTGATCTTTTACTTCTTTATCCCTTTCCTCTATCAGAATCTCTTAAGTCCCCTGTACGTTATGGAATAGAAGTCACTCTATGTCCCGCCGTTTGCTGCTGACATCTTTGTCGCGCTCTTATTCCCTCCAGGAAACAGAAGTATTTCTATCACGGCCGCTTGGATTGGGATGAGAATACCTCTGCGGGGCGCTACGTGCGGGAGAACTGCAAACCGCTACGGGTAAGGCAGGAGGAAGGGGACTTCTGGTGTGTGTGTGTGTGTTTGGTTTATTTTAAGGTTCTGGGAGGAGACAGGCCGAGCCGGGCAGGGCTGCGTGGCCAGCCTCAGTGAGATCTGGAAGAACAAGGGCCCTTTCATGGACCAGAACTTCCTTCCACTGAGTCAGATAGAGCTTGGAGACGTTACTGCGTTTTGGCGAGGGTCGTCCCCATCGATGAGGGCTTCCGAGCCTCCAACAGCTAGTGAGAGGAGCAACGCAGCCAAGAACCCACGGAAGGGACTCTCCTCCTCCGTGGTGTCTGGTTTGGGGCAGCTCTGCCCGCCATGGAGCGCTCTCCGTTTCTCCAGGCTCATCATCCTTCCAGTTCTTTTTGCCTTTCCCTATCGGTCCGATACGCGTGGATTTGGGTTCTTGTCTTGAGCAGAGGGTTGGAGGGGGGGGGGAACAGAGATTCCTTCCAAATCCATGATTCTGAGGATTCCAACCAACGCTTACCCTCCACCCACCCACCCACTCTGAGCTGCAACCCCCTTCTTGAGGTCGTGGGAAGTGACTCTTCTTCTGCTCCTCCTCTTTCTAGCGATACCTGGCCTCCGAGGCCGAAGAACACCACCAGCTCTTCGACCTCATCGAGGGCATGCTGGAGTACGAGCCGGCCAAGCGGATCACGTTGGCCGAGGCCTTGAAGCACCCCTTCTTCGACGCCCTCAAGCTGCCGCACGGCCCTAAACCTTGGGACAGCAGTCGGGACGTCAGCCGGTGACCAGCGGGAGGGCCCTTTTTTTGCCCCTCGGCCCCTCCCTCGCCGCCGATTTGTGTCCCCCCCCCCGACACCCACACCGTTGGCCCCCGTGGAGGCTCGTGTGGTTATAAGCTCATGCATTTTGGTGCTTTGAGAACCAAAACAGGGACAAAAATCCTGATTCGGATCCTGACACTCCAGGTTTTTAACATGTAAAGCTTGTTCATATGTGAGATAATGTATATATCACATGCGGGAAATCTTGAAGTTCTCTCCCTCCGTTCTCCCCCCCCCCCGTGTAAATACAAAGAATTTCTCTAAGTTCATATCTCTCTCTTCCTCCTGCCCCCATTTTGGCTGTACATATTTCCAGTCCCTCTCTCCCCCCCCCTTGCTTTGCACCCACATCCAATTTCCCCCCCTCCCTTTCCCATGTAAGTTATATGGCCGGTGGTGTCCCCTCGGGCGAATTATTTTCAGGACGCTCATCGTAGCCCATGCCAGTGCCAGAGTTTTGTATGGATTTTTTTTGTACAGTCTTTGTGGAAAAATAAAATCCAACCTGAACTTAAATGCCGAGATCGGCCGTTCGCCGGCGGGTCTGCATCTTGTCTCCATCCCAGATCCTAGCGGTGGCAAGCGGGTTCCGGTCTCGCCCTTCCCTGCCCCAAGCAGCTTACCTATTTGAACAACTTTGGAAGTAATGTGAGGAATAGAATGAATGCGGATCAATATTTTTGCATATACGGTAGGGCCCGTATAACAGGAGGAGCATCTGTTGATTCACTCATCCCCAGTCCGAAAATGTTGAAAATACAGTATTAAAAGAAAAAAGCAACAACTCCGAAATATATATTTCTAATGCTGTAGTTTCCAGAACTGGTCACTAGAGAGAAGCAGAGATGCTGCATATATAGTGTTTGCTATCATCTGCGTTTTTCAGTATCCGCGGGGGTGGCTTAAATCTGATCACCTGCGAATGTGTGGGTCCCATTGTATTTGGACCCTGGTTTTTATTTGTTAGGATGAAAGTTGTTTTGTTTTTAAATTAAAATTTGTTTAATTAAAAAAAAGTATTTACTTTTTCCATTTTGGTTTGATTGGATTTTTTTTAAAAAAAGATCCTCTGGATTTGATGAGAGTTTTTAAAAATCTAAGCAAAGATCATCAAGTGTATGGATATGTCCCTGGAGACGAAGACCAAAGATTGTCCATGGTCTTGTATTTCTGATGCGCCACGTGTGGGTGTGAAAGCTGGTCAGTGAAGGGAGCTGATTAGAAGGGAAATTGATTTGTTTGAAATATGGTGCTGGAGGAGAGCTTTGCCGATAACCCTGGACTTCCAGAAAGACAAAGAAATGGGTCCCAGATCAAATGAAGCCTGAACTCTCTCTGGAGGCAAAAATGTTGAAACTGAGGCTTTGTCCTACTTTGGGCTCATCCTGACAAGGCAGGATTCTCTGGAAAAAGGCCATCAATGCTGGGTAAAGTGGAAGGCAGCAGGAAAAGAGGAAGGTCAGATACGACTTACCCCCTGAGATTCGCGCGGCTCCCTCGCTGGGTATTTTTAAGAAACAATTAAAAACTTGGATGTTTAGGCAGGCCTTCCCAACAGATAATTCCTGACGATTCCTCCCTACCCTATAGCTCTCCTATCCTGTTTAATAATATTTTTTTGTTATTTTTGTTAAGTAATATGGTTATATGTATTTTTATTGTTTATTCTTATGTTGTTAGCCGCCTAGAGTGGTCCTCACACGACCAGATAGGCGGGATATAAATAAAATAAATAAATAAATAAATAAATAGAGGCAAAAATGTTGAAACTGAGGCTTTGCCCTACTTTGGGCTCATCCTGACAAGGCAGGATTCTCTGGAAAAAGGCCATCAATGCTGGGTAAAGTGGAAGGCAGCAGGAAAAGAGGAAGGTCAGATACGAGATGGGCGGACTCCCTAAGGAAACCACGAGCTTGAGTTTGCAAGAGCTGAGCTGGTCTGTTGAGGAAAAGGAGATTTCGACGACCATTCATTCATCATGGAGATGACGTGACCAGCTATAACAAGAAAACCTTTATCTTGGTTAGATGGAGGATGTATTTTTTTAAATCAAATTTTAATTTCACTTTTTTTTTTTTAAACAAGGCCTCTTGAATGCCACGTTGGCGTTCTCTTTTATCTGGAGTAAAGACCGCTCAAAGAAAGCTCAAGAACGTTTTGAACGAGACAGAACTGGGGAAGAAGGCGAAACCAAACGCAAGACGGACGCCGGGCTGTTCGGCGCTAGCTAGCTAGACCTTCGCGGGGAAGGTCTTTTGAATCCCTCGATGCTTTCTCGGTAGTATAGAACAACCGGTGTTTTTCTCAGCCTTGCCAATCCGCCGACAGGCGCGATGCGTCAGCGGCGCCTACGCCAGCTCCGGAGGCTTAAAACAGATGTCAGCTCTTTTCCCAGAATCCAAGCGTCTTAATCGGGCCCAAGACCTTAACCGAGCGTCCCTGTTCAGAACCGAACCGATTTCTCGGGGCAGGAGGAATGGCAAACTCGCCCCTGCTCTGTCCGATGCAGGTGACGTCACCTCCAGCAGATAGAAAGACTCATAGAGACACAAACGATGGGAAAGCTAGGCATGGCCAAAGCAGAGAGGTTACTTCGTAAAACTTACCTTTCGGAATTAAGCTCCTTTCCCGGTCTGCTTACCGCTACCTCTCTGAATATGTTTCTTTTCTACACCAGATTGGAGAGATTGGAGAATTCCCAGGAAGCAAAGAAATAAGGGTCAGATATTCCACTGTTCTCCGTTCGAAGTTTCTTTTAATTCCATTTTGTCAAACAGTTGGGTAGCTGAGGGTGGAGGTCTGCAGAGGTTGGGAGTTCGGTCCCCCCTCTCCCCAGGACTCCCTGACCTGGGTGTGTGTGAACTCAATGATTCATAGGGTCCCTTGCAGTTTTCTAAGATGATGATGATGATGGACACAACGAAGAGGATCAGAATGGTGGCCACTAAGAACGGATTGTCGGTCAGAATGGTGCCAGCCAGGAGGCGATTATCTGGACAACGCAAGAAAGATGCTTGTGTGCTTCTTCTCAAATCACACACACTTCACCGCATTCATTTACCTTTCCCCCACCATGTCCCAGCTCAATGATGCTGGATTTTACCTTTCCTCCGGACACTTGTTTTCCCCCGTATGTTTGCAAGCTTTTCGGTTCGGAACTTTTATTTGGGTCCTAAATAAAAGCTGTTTTTCTTGGCCGTTCCAAATCCCGCTTCCGGCGGCGATTTTGCCCCAATGTGGGGCAGAGAAGCTAGGGCAGTGTGTCTGGGTCGGAGAGGGTGATTAACCCACCTACTCGCGGTTTCACAACTGACTCATCCCTGTCCCCCCCCCCCAAGCCCTTCTGCTCTTAAGGAGCTTAAGACAGCTCTGGGTCCCACCTGGCACGGTGTCCCCTTGGCCAGAGAGGTCTTCAGCCTCACCCTGCAATCTCTTTACCATCCTCCCTAAGCCACGTCTAAGCCCCTTTCAAGGGCTCCTGTGGATTGATCGTTTTCGACAACCCGCGGTCGGCGTTCCCGTTTCTGTGAACCAGATTCAGGAGCTTACGAAGGGTGGGTGGGGGTGTGTGTTTATGGAAAGGCCATTGATCGCCGCATCTTTCTCAAATGCGGCTCCAAGCTTACAGGTTGCATATTCATCCTTCGAAATGTTTAGATAGTGTTGTTCGGGCGCATCACGAAAGGGCAAGATTTGTTGCAGAAGACAATCGTGATAGGAAAACAAAAAAAAAATCTAAGCAGGAAAAGAGGACCAATGGTGAGATGGATTGACTCTCTAAACGAAGCCATTGCGTTGAGTTTGTGGAAATTCTGAGGACAAGATATCCTGGAGTTCGCTCCTTCATAGGATCACCATAAGCTGCATGGCATGTAACAAACACAGCAGTGTTTAGATTCCCTTCTCCAAATGCAGTATTGGGACCATTCCTGCATGCAATATTTCGCCATTCAAAAAAACCGTGTTTCCTTTTAAGAAGGAAGGTAGGGTGAAAATACTTTCAATAAATAAATATATACATACAGAAACTAAAACGTTAAGGTACAGAGGGTGTGGTCTAGATCTGCCCTATAGACTGAGAGATTGGAGAATTATCTTATAACCCCCCAAAATCTCCTTCAGATCGTCTCCGCCGGTTTTCTTCTTTCAACAAAAACCATGAGGACTAAGGACTTGGCTGTTTTTTCAACAGCCCCGGTTCAGAGACCTTGGGATTCGTGGCCGTGCGTACCCTGGCGAGCGATACGTGCCAGGTGTCCTTCATGGTGGGCGTCTGTCCAGCTTGGCCCGTGGTGCCATCTGGCTTTTGAGGATCACCCTGGCGGATCAGGGAAAGCCCGGCGTCACCGGGGAGGGGGGGGCTGCCCAGCTCCTGATCCCAGTTTAAAGAGCTTGAGCTGGCCAAGGACTCTAATCTTCCTTCTGGACATCCAAAGGGAGCAGATCAAGGGACTCTGCACACCTCCACAGGTAAGTTGTACAAGAAGTGGCGTTTTGGATGAGAACCCTCCTGTTCCGACTAGATATTTTTGTTAGTTCGCCATCTAAATTTTAGTGCCAGAACCTGCCAAGTTGTTTGGGCGGGGCTTTGGGGGAAAGGGGTTCAGCCTGTGGCACTCACTGCCACAAGACAGGCGGCCAGGCCATCCGAGGGACGGCACTGAAACTCCTAAATTTCCTGCCCTAAAAGTCTAGACCAGGAATCTCCCTGACCAGGTTTCGTGACCGTCAAAAGCCTTCCTGGTTCTTGAGTTTTAATGCCACGTAACCGTTCTGTGGCCGTTCTGTTTTGATGGATGTTCTGCAATTCTCCGTACAGCTTCAGAGAGTTGCTTCTTTATTACGGCCAGGTGGGACACCCGGGAAGTAACTGTTCTCTGGATCCTCGGTTCCAGCCCTCTCCTGCTATATGGGATCTGCGGCGAAATCGGTGTTTGGAGTCCCAGCTAACCAGCTTCTCTGTTGCGTCTCGGCCAACTTGTCTAAAGAGAAAGATCCGAGTGACCGGAAGACATGCCTTAACCGGAGCCCATTCCTGCCACCTCCCTCGAGACAGCTCAGCCAGAAGCAGAAGTAAGCAAACCTTCTTCTGCTTTAAGGGTCGGGGTTTCGTAATGATAGGATGTCAAAAGGCTGAGCAAATTGTAAAGTTTTGCCAACTGCTTTGCATTTAAAAGAATAACAGGAAATGAAACTTGTGGGATAAGGCATGGCCCTTAGAGTAAGGAGAGGATGTCAAAAGGCTGAGCAAATTGTACAGTTTTGCCAGCTGCTTTGCAGTTAAAAGAATAACAGGAAATGGAAACTCGTGGGATAAGGCATGGCCCTTAGAGTAAGGCGCCATGGAGCGATACTGGCAAGGCACGTAATAAGGAGGGGAAAGTTAGCCGGACTGTGCGCGCATGGTCCAACACATAGGGTGTGGCATGGGTATAAAAACTTGTGCAAAATACTGCTTGGGCAGAGGGGGAGACAGCGGTTTTCGGATTGCTCTCTCTTTCTCTCTGCTGTTGCAAACTGCATAATAAAGGAACTTTCTCCTCACCCTCACCCCAGACCGCTTGGTGGATTTTATTAGTACGATTGGCTAGTTTTACCTATAACAATTTCTGGCGCCAGAAGTGGAATCCGAGGGTCCCTGTTGCTAGCAGCGGACGGGGCAGGATTTGATTTCCACTGCTAGATGTTTCTTGCGGCCTTCGCTCCCTCCCCTGTGGCATCGGAGACCCCCAAAACGGACCACCTGAGGTGGGGGTGAGAAGGAAGTTCGGACGCCGGCCGAGGAGTTTTGGAGGCCAGGACTGTTCGGTTCGGTCAAGTAAGAACGCCATGGGAAACTGTGCTAGCAAGGGAGAAGGAGAGGGGTGGGAAGGGGGGCCAAGCCCGCCTCCGCTAACGGAAGGTCGGTTCCCGGTGGATTACCCATTAGGTAGGCTGATGGATAGGTGGAATGAGTTTAAGGAACCGGAGACACGTCTGGGAAGAATGGTGCATCTCTGTACGGGAGTATGGACGACCTTCGTCTTCCCGGACGTGCCGGCAATAAGTTGGCCAGCTGGAGGGAGTTTTGACAGCGAGATTTGTTTCTACATGAGGATGTATTTTATCAACAACCCTGACACCACTAGCGGGCAGTGGCCTTACTGGAAGGTGTGGGAGAAGTTTGCAGTGCCGAAGCAAAGCGGGTTGAAGTCTGTGTTCCCAATCGTAGTGGTACGTTCGGGCACAGCCGGTGGGGCTTGTGTGCCAGAAGGGGAACTAGGGGGGTTCCCCTCTGCCCCACCTGCCCGACAGTGGGACATCCTGGATAATCTCCCGCCCTACTCCCTGAAGCCCTACGGAGAGGGACGGGGATCCCTAGGTGCGCTGACATATAAAGGGGGCCAAGAACTCTTGGAGGAAGTTAGGCAGAGAAATAAGATCAAGGAAAGGGAGGTCAAAGAGGTGAGGGAAGGGAAGGGAGCCCACGGAGACAGGAGAGGCTTCCCCACAAAAGGAGATGATGGGACCCAGGAAGCAGCAGTTATGCCCCTGCGGCAGGTCCCGCTGGGGAACGGGACCGTGGGTTACATAGATCACCCGTTAACCACCACCGAACTGAGGGCGTTCAAGATCTGGATGCTCAAGTGGGACGACGACCCGACGGCCTTTGTGGAGAAGTTTGACTTCTTTCTAGGAATATCCATGTATTCCCCCACTGAGATGGGATTCATAATTCGGGAGGTCGTCGGGAACGGGAAATTTGTCGGCGCCGTTCACGAGGCTCGGAGGGAATGGCTGAAGGAAAACGTCGGAGGGACGCCCGCCCAGGCTGAGCAACGCCTGCCGTTCGGTCCGACCGCAGAGGACGCCTTCGACCCCAACGACCCCCAGTCGCAGGCGTGGGCCCGAGAGTACAGGCGATTTCTGTTTAAGGGGCTGGCCGCTCTCACCCCGGCGGTCATTAATAGGGAGGAAGTTTTCTAATAGGGAGGAAGTTTTCTAACACCGAGGCAAGGAGGAGGGAGTGCAGAGGAGGGTCTGGAAAAATTGAAAGGGGGCAAGAAGCGCCTGGGAGAACAGCGGGTGAAAGCATTGATGGAAACCCCACGGCCAAAGTCAAAGCAGCAGTTGTGGGGTTTTCTGCGTAGGCTCGAGTCCTGCCGTAAGTGGGTCCCAAAAATGTCGAAGATGGTTAGCCCCCTAGTAGAAATGTTAGGGCAAGGAGAAGCCCATCCCTTGATCTGGACGAAGGAGGGGAATCGAGCCATGGAAGAGATAAAGAGGAGATTAGCTGAGGCCCCAGCATTGGGCTTGCCAGACATAGGGAAGCCAATACACGTGTTTGTATCTAATCAACGAATGTTTGCAGCCGCAGTGGCAGCCCAGGAGAGGGCGGGGATGATGGAAACCATAGCCTATTTGTCTAGAACCATGGACCCGGCGATAGAGTCGTGGCCGGCGTGCGCGCAAGCCTGTGAGGCAGCGGCCATGATGGTCAAGGAAGCCCAGAAGTTATTTCTGCTATATGCGCTGGTGGTACACTCTCCGCATCAAATCCGGACCCTGTTGAGCACTTCAGCGAGCCGGTGGCTTAGTAATCAGAGGCTGATGCAGGCAGAGGCTTTATTGCTGGAGGGGAAAGACCTGGTGCTGATAGTGGATGGAACCGAACCAGGGAAAGGTCTTCAGCCGCCGCAAGGGGGGCGGACAGGGGACGGACGGCCATGATTGTAGCCACTTTCAGACAAAATGGAGGGATCTGTGGGAGTAACCACTGGAGGGCCCAGAGGTGATGGAGTGGTACATAGATGGGTCTTCTAAAGTGACCGACGGGGTGCGGAAGAGCGGGTATGGAATTGTGACGGAGAATGGAGAAGTGTTAGAAAAAGGACAGCTTCCACCTTTAACGTCAGCCCAAACTGCTGAAGCATGGGCCTTAAAAAGAGCCTTTTGGGAGAGAGATTGGACCTTACAATTTACAAAGACTCGAGATACACATGGGGAGTAAGTTCATGCCTTTGGGGAAAAAATTGGAAGGCACGAGGGTTATTAAATTTCCAGGGGGAAGCAATTGTGCACGAGCGAGTTATAGAGGAGGTACTGGACACCCTGTCCAAGCCCCCGGAAAATAGCGATAGTGCACCTTTCGGCCCATCGGAAGGGAAATGTGAAGGAATTAGTGGGGAATCGAGGAGCCGATAAAGCAGCAAAGGAAGGAGCCGCTAACGGACCTCCGGTCTCTGTGGCATGTGGATGAGCAATAATGGTGTTGAAAATCTATCTGGCCGGTGAATAGCCCAAGAGGGCGGACAGTGGATACTTAAGTCAGCGGCTTAAGTCCTCGGGGAGGGTGGAGAGGGCAAATGGCTTTCTCAAGCAAAACTGTGCGAAAACTGGTGGTAGAACATCAGTTATCCTGGACAAAAGGTATTTCCCTTGGCGCTCTTTGCCACGAGGACAAAGCCTAGCGCAGATATTGGATTGTCACCCTTTGAGATGTGTGAATGGGCACAATGTATGGGAAAAAGAGGGGATGGTGGGGGGGGCGGTGCATGAGTTGGGCAAATCCGCTTTGAAGAGATTATGTTCTGGCCTTGTCTTCTGTCTTGTTATCTAACGGGGTTCAACATCAGTCCTTACCTTTAGAAGCAGCGGTAGTTCGCTTCCAGCCTGGACAAATACGTGTATGTGAAGAGGTGGAACGTTAGCCCTTTGGAGGCCAAGCGGGACGGATCGTATTTGGTCTTGCCGACAACAGAGACGGCAGTCCGGGCGAAAGAAGCCGGTTGGACGCATCGCGCCCGAGTGAAAAGCGCCGCGGTTCCGAACAGCGAAACAGAAGAGGAACGGATCTGCCAAACACCCGATCCACAGGAGCCCCTCGAACTACGGCTGAGAAAGCAGGGAGGCAGAAGTGGGTTGGGGGATGCAGCAGAGTAAAAATGGTGGTTCTGTTTATGAGCTGTTGGAACATCCTTGGCGGACTCGGCGTGCGGGAAGGGCAATACTGTTGTGCAAAATGTTTTATCAAACGTCACAAGCATTGAATTGGACGAGGTGTTGGTTGAGCAAATTTTACAGTTTCGCCAGCTGCTTTGTAGTTAAAAGAAGAACGGGAAATGAAACTCGTGGGATAAGGCCTGGCCCTTAGAGCAAGGCGCCATGAAACGATTCTGCCAAGGCACGTAGTTGCGAGGGGTAAGTTATCCAGACTGTGAGCTCATGGGCCAACTGGTCAATGAGACAGATAGGGTGCAGCGCGGGTACAAAAGCTTGGGCAAAATACTGCTTGGGCAGAGGGGGAGATCTCTCTTTCTCTTGCAACTGTGTAATAAAGGAGCTTCCTTCTTACTCTCACCCCAGACTGCTTAGTGGATTTTATTAGTATGATTGGCTAGTTTTACCTATAACAATAAGAATCCAAAATACAAAACAGTTCTATTGCCTTACATGGGGGTACAGCTGAGCAGTCAAGCTTTTCAGATAGCACTAGGCTGGTTAGGCGTCCTCTTTTACAAAGGACACTCCTCTCTTTGACTTGGTGCAGCACAGCCCTCTTATTGAAGGAGTGCTCTTTCAAATGGTCTTTCTGATCTACGTTGGGTTGAAAGAAAAAGAACCAGGAGGAGAGAGACCGAGGTGGTGAAGTTGCCCACATCCACATTTAATTGAACCCAGGTAGCAGGCCTCTGGGTTGGCTGGTCTCTCATTCTTAAAGAGATTTTTAATTATTGGATAATATCCAATAGAAAACAAATCCATCATTCACCTTTTGTCCAGCTCCTTCCTCTGCATTGCCACCTTCCATTTTCTTTCAATGCCATCCCAAGTGTCATAGCACACGTCCCAAATGATGAGTGATGCCCACATCCTGCCCACGCACATCCCCTCCAAATTCAAAAAAATCTATGTGTTCCTGGGGAGGCTGGCGACTCCATTATCAATGAGGCATTGAGTCTGCTCCGTGTTTTAGTCTGAACTTTAAAGGAATGTGTCCAAGGTGCTGAATCGAATTGGGGGTTGGAACCCAGCTTTTGTAAGATTCAGATTAAAAACCAGAGCAAATGGACCATTGCATCATGCCCTCAATGTAGTTGCTTACATTTTGCCCCTCTTCCCTACGCCTCACGCATCCGATTCTTTCTCCTTCCCTTGGCCAGGGACAAACGGGATGCAGGCTTAGCACGCCGGAAAGCCGAGCGGGCCTCCATGAGGGCCCAGCTCCGAGAGAAATACCAGCTGCCTAAGGTAAGGAACATCGCTTCCCGGAGGGAAGTGTATCCATCTGCTTGATTCTCATAAAGGTTTTCCTCTGTCGCGTGTCCTTGCTCGAGCTTGGAAACACTATTTTGGGACTACACATCCCAGAATCACCCCTTGTACTGATGGGAGCAGGGGTTCTGGGATTTGTAGTGCCAAATGGTTTTTCAATGCTGTTTTCCAGCTGTTTTTCATCTGGAAAACAGCTTTGAAAACGTTTGGAAAACAGCTTTGAAAACTTTTCATCTGGAAAACAGCTTTGAAAACGTTTGGAAAACAGCTTTGAAAACTTTTCATCTGGAAAACAGCTTTGAAAACGTCTCTTTCTTTGCTTTGATGGCACAGAAAGTATTTTTTCAAACGATGTTTTTCTTGAAGGCTTTCACAGCCGGGATCCGATGGTGGTTGTAGGTTTTTCGGGCTCTTTGGCCGTGTTTTGGATGTTTTTCTTCCTAACGTTTCGCCGGTCTCTGTGGCCCCAAACAATGTTTTTCTCGAAGGCTTTCATGGCCGGGATCCGATGGTGGGTGTGGAATTTTTTCGTGCTCTTTGGCCATGTTTTGGAGGTTTTTCTTCCTAACGTTTCGCCGGTCTCTGTAGCCGGCCTCTTCAGAGGACAGGAGCTAGAAACTCTGTCCATGTTCTGGCGTCATGTGCGGGATTGTTGAGTATTTTCCAAGGCAGGGTCTCGGCCCAGCTTCAAGCCAGCCACTGACGCCTCTCCTGCTCTAACCAGTAGACTCTACTGCCCTCCTTTCTGACATCCCTTATTTCCCCTCCACTTTCTTCCCCAGAACTGGAAAGACAAGAAGCAGCTGCAAGCGGCCGGGGTGAAGCCCAAACTCCCGCCAGACCTCCAGGCGATCGTGAACCCCGCGGCCGCCTCCGATTCTGGCTCCATCTTCCCGCGCTGGGTGGCCCTGGATTTCAGCTCCTTGCGGGCCACTGCGGAAAATGCGGTGCAGTCGCTCCCAGGTTCCGTGCGCCAGTGTCCGGTTATGTGAAACAAGTGCTCCTTGTTAAAGAGGAGCACTTGTTAAAGAGGACGTCCGTGAAGGCGGAAAAAAAATCAAAAAGAGATACCAATCAGCAAAAAAGTTGCATGTGCTTACGTATTTTTATGGACACCCTTACCCATGCATCTCATTCATTTGCAACCAGGGGGTCCATGTGCCTTCTCAATCTTCTGTCCAGATGGGGCTTGACGTGGACGATGGGCAACATCTTCTTCCACATGCATCTTGCAGGGGATTGGGGCCGGGGAGGGGTGAATGGAGATCTCCCAGCTCCCGTTGTGTTGTTCTAGAACGTTGTCTTATGGTCATCACTTAAGAACCCAGAATGCTCTGTTCCTGTTGAGCCAGATCAGAGGTCCGTCCGTGGCTGGTCATCCGGACCCCTTGTAGAAATCTAAGGAGGTGTATTTCCTTGACTCTTTTGGGCCCCTCAAGAAAAAAGCAAGATTTTCAGGAAAAGACCATCACTCTGGGAAGGCAGCGGGAAAAGAGGAAGGCCAAATGTGAGATGGAAGGACTCCCCTAGGAAGCCACAACAATTGTATTTATGAACACAATAATAACACAAGCTGTCTGGATGAGGTGTGTTTTGGACCGGAGGGCAAATAAAGCAAAAATTAGATCTTCAATGGAATATGAAGTCTAGCAAATGGAAAATCCATGTGCTTTGGGGAGCAGAAAGCAAAAAAATAAAGAGTAATGTATTTCAAGTCTTTCGTCTGTGAAAGAGTGGGTTTGTACATGTCATATCCGGTGATATATAGTTTATTTCCAAATTCACAAGTAGGTTAAAAGAAATAAGCATTTTTGGGGGGCCCGTCTGGAAAAGCTTTGTGGAATGACTTAGGGTGTTTTCCAGCGTGACGTCTTTCAGTCCTGACTTGTCTTGTTTAGAACTGGCCCACCCGGGACACCGGAAACGAGGACGATGGGTCTTTCTCTTCCGAGAGAGAGAGAGAGAAGGGTATCACCTTCCAAGGCACACAGAGAGAAAGATCTGGAGCTGTTAAGAGCTCATCTGCTCAGCGTTAGCGGCCGCTGATGAGAAATAGCAAGGACTAATTCTATTTCAAGGGGAAGCCTTAAGCAAAATAAGTCATTTCACCATTGATATAATAATCGTAGAAGTGCAGAGCTGGAAGGGACCCTCAAGATCATCAAGTCCAGCCCTTCTTATAGAGGCCCGTTGGTGAGATTTGAACTCCCAACCGCTAGCTGACTCAGCTCTCCAGCAATCATCCTTCCGCTTTTTCTCAGCTCCTCCGTCTCCATGGGGATGATTTTCTTTATGAGCCACTGTCTGCTTCTCTCTGCCCCCCTCCTTGGCACAGCAGTCAGCATCAGCCGCTCTCTCCAGCCAGCCAGACTCTTGTCTGGGGATGATGGGCGGTGTAGTGGACCCACCCTGCGGGCCCCAGCTTGATGGGAGGGAGGCTGGAAAGCTGAGCCTGGATGGGGCTTTAAATGGTGGCTCTGGTTTATCTTGCTTGGGCGTGCAGGGTTTCATTCTCTCCAAATAATAATAAAGAAGAAATAAATAATGGATCACTTAACTTATAAAAGCATCAGAATATAATTTACAGAATATTTATAATTCTTATACAATAATAAATTAATGGTTTTGAATTTAATTTACTACCTTATGAATTAAATAAAGTAATACCATCCGCAACTATCAATCCAATCCTCTCAGGCAAATAAAAAGTCCCCATTGTAATTCTTGGGGGCACACACACATATCTTAATTTGGTGCATGTGCCCCTGGAAATCAAGGTGGGGGCTCGCTATTTGCCAGCCAGAAATGGGTGGAAAGTTGCATTTTAAAATTTTATTTTATTGTTTTCACACTAAGCAAGATTTCAGCCACTGCATGGTGAGCTCTCTTGCTATGTGGCACAATGATGCAAGATAGCTTCATGTAAAATGTGATAATGAAAAGGTTTTCACATGTAAAAATGTCTTGAAAGTAAATGTTACCTATTCAGAGCTTGGTAAATTTCTTTTTCTGGGGGTGGGGGGTAGGGAGGAATCACAGCTCCCAGAATCTTTCAGATAGCATATCCACTTATTGTCCAAAAAACAGAATTTTTCCAAGCTCTGAACCTATTTCTGTTCACTGCAAATTCAAGCAATACCTTTCAGAGAACTGCACGTCAGCAGCAGGGCAGAATTGGTCTTTTCAGATAAAAACTTCCCAGAGAAGATCAGCTGCATAACAGAAGCTGCAATGTTAAGGGAATCCAATGGTTTAAATCCAATAGTAAATCAGAACTTGAGAAGGCCCATTGAATCGGTGGGGATATGTACATTCTATGGATTCAAAGGGATAACTCTAGTTGTGACTTACTGTACATTGGATTTTAGTCAATAAACTCAGTGGGACTTACTTCCTAGTAAACAGTAAGTGGCAGGTTGGCTTTGTAGATGATTTTCCTCTTGGCGTGGACAATGTGGATTCTGGGAGCCTGCATGGCTAACTGCATGGGGATTATGGGAGTTGTAGTCCAACCGGCGAGGCAGGGTGTGTGCATGGGGGGGCGGGCTCCGAGAAGAAACGCGGGGGGGGGAAGTTGTAGACCCAAAAGCACCTGGCTTTTGGGTCTACAACTCCCACAATCCCCACCTCCATAGCCGGCTGGCTGGAGGGGATGATGGGAGTTGTAGTCCAACCTACCGGGGAGGGGGAATTGGCCTCTTGAGAAGGAACGCCCAGCTCGCTTCGTTACTTTCGTTTTAGGCTCCCAAAGTCTTACCTTTAACCCTCCCCAAACACAAGCCAGCAACTTTGGACTACAGCACCCATCATCCCCCCACACCTCCAGCCAACAAAAGGATTCTGGGGGGATTTTAGGCCGAGCCAAAGACTGATTTGGAAAGGCTTGGGGGCAAGGAGGGCCTCTCTTTTCCTAGGCAGGTCTCCCTTTTCTGCTGGGTCAGGATGCGTCCTTAAGATCGCCAGATCATCGTGGCCGGCTTGGCCCCCCAAGAAACCACCAGCCCTCGTCCAGGAGGGGGGGGATCAGACTCCAACACCCATTATCCCTTAATGAGCGCTCCTGCTTGGCCAGGATGATGGGAAGTGTTGGCCCAAACTTCATGAGGACTGGCATCCAGACAAAATCTGAATCAGCCCTTTGTGTTTCTCCCATGCCAACTCTTCTAGGGGGTAAAAAGAAGGAAGTGTAAAAATACTGATTTTTATCGTGTCGCAATGATGACCTCTTCATTTGCATCCAGGGATAATAAACGTTATATGGTTATTTTCCCCTCCATTGGGGCCAATTTGCAAATTACACAAATCTGGTTTTCTTTTGGAAACCAGATTTTGTGTTGCAGACCTGGGAATTAGATTCCTTTTGTCTGGAAAAAACAAAAACAAAAATTGACCCACAAAATTTAATGCGGAAACAATCATATTAGTCGTTAAAGCACCGCAATATTATGTCCTTATTTTCCCCCCTTTTATTTTCTCCTTTTCCTTTCTTGGTCTTGTTTTCCTGAATTTTTCGATTACAAACCTTTAATAGCTGATCCTATAAACCCCCTGGACCTGCTGCTTCTCCTCCTAGTTTGAACAATTTTGTGGCACATTCTTGACAATCTCCTGATCAGGGGAGGTCATTTTTGATGGCCAAAGGTGTGGTTGCAAGAGGGCAAGGTCCATCCATGGTCTTCCGAAAAAATATTTCCGGAATTCTGCTCCTCCTTTTTGTTTAAAAAACCTGTTTTTTGTTTAATGTTCCTCCATTTTTTACCCCACTATCTTTCCAGACCATCCAAAAGGGAAATCAGTGTGCTGATCTCATTGGGCTGTGAATTTGCAGGGAGTAAATCCAACTCGACTTTGATCAGCATTTATTTATTTCATTCTGCACGGATGTGCCGATTAAAAGAAAGGCGCAGCTCGGGGGAAGAAAATTAGAAAAAATAATAATTTGCTGCTCCTCCTTTTTGTTAAAATAAATCTTTTTTTGTTGTTGTTGTTTAATGTTCCTCCTTTTTTACCCCACTACCTTTCCAGACCATCCAAAAGGGAAATCAATGTGCTGATTTCACTGGGCAGTGATTTGCAGGGAGTAAATCCAACTGTACTTTGATCAGCATTTATTTATTTCGTTCTGCGCGGATGTGTCGATTAAAAGAAAGGCGCAGCTCAGGGGAAGAAAATTAGAAAAAATAATAATTTAGCCCATTCTGCATGGCTCTTCTGCTTTGCAGCCAGAGACCTCTCCAGCCATTCTCATCAGGTTAGAGGTGTCACTGATTCAGCTTTCTCCCGTGCAAATGGCATGCTCAGCTGTTGAGTCCCTTCCTTTAGATATGAAAAGCGACAGCAACTTTGGACTACAGCACCCATCATCCCCCCACACCTCCAGCCAACAAAAGGATTCTGGGGGGATTTTAGGCCGAGCCAAAGACTGATTTGGAAAGGCTTGGGGGCAAGGAGGGCCTCTCTTTTCCTAGGCAGGTCTCCCTTTTCTGCTGGGTCAGGATGTGTCCTTAAGATGGCCAGATCATCGTGGCCGGCTTGGCCCCCCAAGAAACCACCAGCCCTCGTCCAGGAGGGGGGGGATCAGACTCCAACACCCATTATCCCTTAATGAGCGCTCCTGCTTGGCCAGGATGATGGGAAGTGTTGGCCCAAACTTCATGAGGACTGGCATCCAGACAAAATCTGAATCAGCCCTTTGTGTTTCTCCCATGCCAACTCTTCTAGGGGGTAAAAAGAAGGAAGTGTAAAAATACTGATTTTTATCGTGTCGCAATGATGACCTCTTCATTTGCATCCAGGGATAATAAACGTTATATGGTTATTTTCCCCTCCATTGGGGCCAATTTGCAAATTACACAAATCTGGTTTTCTTTTGGAAACCAGATTTTGTGTTGCAGACCTGGGAATTAGATTCCTTTTGTCTGGAAAAAACAAAAACAAAAATTGACCCACAAAATTTAATGCGGAAACAATCATATTAGTCGTTAAAGCACCGCAATATTATGTCCTTATTTTCCCCCCTTTTATTTTCTCCTTTTCCTTTCTTGGTCTTGTTTTCCTGAATTTTTCGATTACAAACCTTTAATAGCTGATCCTATAAACCCCCTGGACCTGCTGCTTCTCCTCCTAGTTTGAACAATTTTGTGGCACATTCTTGACAATCTCTTGATCAGGGGAGGTCATTTTTGATGGCCAAAGGTGTGGTTGCAAGAGGGCAAGGTCCATCCATGGTCTTCCGAAAAAATATTTCCGGAATTCTGCTCCTCCTTTTTGTTTAAAAAACCTGTTTTTTGTTTAATGTTCCTCCATTTTTTACCCCACTATCTTTCCAGACCATCCAAAAGGGAAATCAGTGTGCTGATCTCATTGGGCTGTGAATTTGCAGGGAGTAAATCCAACTCGACTTTGATCAGCATTTATTTATTTCATTCTGCACGGATGTGCCGATTAAAAGAAAGGCGCAGCTCGGGGGAAGAAAATTAGAAAAAATAATAATTTAGCCCGTTCTGCATAGCTCTTCTGCTTTGCAACCAGAGACCTCAACGACTGAGCCGTCCAGCCATTCTCATCGGGTTAGAGGTGTCACTGATTCAGCTTTCTCCCGTGCAGATTGCATGCTCAGCTGTTGAGTCCCTTCCTTTAGATATGAAAAGCGAGGCGCTAGTCCTCATTGTTCTGAAGAAAGGGGCTGAGGCGAAATGGAAACCGCCAGCCAGATCTTTGAGATGTGATCTGCGAAGTACAATGGGATCGTCGCTCCCAGCTCTGCCTCTAATAATTTAGCCCATTCTGCATGGCTCTTCTGCTTTGCAGCCAGAGACCTCTCCAGCCATTCTCATCAGGTTAGAGGTGTCACTGATTCAGCTTTCTCCCGTGCAAATGGCATGCTCAGCTGTTGAGTCCCTTCCTTTAGATATGAAAAGCGAGGCGCTAGTCCTCATTGTTCTGAAGAAAGGGGCTGAGGCGAAATGGAAACCGCCAGCCAGATCTTTGAGATGTGATCTGCGAAGTACAATGGGATCGTCGCTCCCAGCTCTGCCTCGAGAAAGCTCGCAGTTCAGCGGCTGATCGGGCGCTTTTTGGCTGCTCGGTGGGTGACCTCGTTGCCTTCATGCGGACTAGCAGCTTGATTAAAGGGAGATCTTGTTTCCTCTTTCAAGCACCTTTGGGAGAGAAGTCTCCGAAGGGGGTGTATTTTGTAACCGAAAAGTAAATAAATGATGACTTAGCTTGGCCTTGGCAGACTCTTGGCACTGCTTCCTCTTCCCTCAGGACCCCGCTGTCATCCAGCACAGGCCGACGTCCGAATATGCAACTTTGGACATCTACAATCCGTTCGACAAGTCGGGGGTAAGAGAGACATTGTGTATTTCCCTCCCCCCGGCCCCAGAATTATTGAGTATGGCCATATGTGAGTGAGCAAGACGGCAGTTATGGTTGCCTGTATTTAATTTATACATTTAATTTTGAAGCCCTTTGACTTTAGCGCTCTGTATCCTGGCGGGACCTTTTCAGTGTTTGTTCCTGGACTGTGGAACTCCCTTCCACTGGAAATTGATCTCCAAAAACTTTTCCTTTCAAGCCGTTGCTCGTCATAGCAAGACTGCCGAGGAAGGGCTTTTTAAGGGAAGATGCTCTGTGTTTCCAGTTTTACGCTTTCTCTGGCACGCTTTTCCGTCGTTCCGCGTGTGTCTGAAGGCGAGGGTGGTTTTAATAATGGCAGTATTGCGTTTTTAATGCTCTAACATGGTTTTTTAAATTGTATCCCTCCCCTAGTCCGTAATCTGTCTTGGTTTCTATATGAGAGGAAAGGAAGGAAAGTTATGTTCTGTTTCTACGAGAAAAATGAAGCATTTATAGGAAGTCCGGCTTTTCGTGAATTAGGCTTAGTGTTTTGTGCCTGGACAGCCAGCGGCTTTTGCGAGTCTCGGACCCGAAGATGGAGAGTCTGGGAAGTCTGCAATTCGAATTTTCTTTCTGCCTTAAAGTGGGCTTAAGCAAGCTTGCTCGGCCTTGGGATTCTCCATCTACAATATGGGAAGAATCCCATAGGAAATGTCTAAACTGTAAAGTTCTGGACTCTCGTGTCCAAAAAAGAGGATTCTGGGGGTTGTAGTCCACAAATCAACATTTCTAAGTTTTGGGAATAATAATAGACCATTCCACCACCGCCTTGCCCTCCCAGCTGTTTTATTTATATATAACCTTTCAGCTAATTTTGAGCCTTCTTTATCCTCTCCGATGCAGCAGCCGCCCCCTGCGTACGAGCCCCCGGCGTCGACTCAGACGGTCCCCCCAGCGTCCGCTCCGGCTGAACAGCCGACTAAGAAAGTGAGCCCCACAGAGACCAGGAATTACGGGTCCTATGGCACGCAGGTAAGAGGCCACAACGATTCTTTGGGGGTTCAGAGGAAGGATTCTCGGGGCTGCCTATGCTGAGAAACTGGGTTCCCCCCCTTTTCTTTCTGATTTACCAAGTCAAGCCTCAGTGACATAATTTTAGGCCTACACCAAAAAAAGAGAGAGAGAGATCTGTTTGGGGACTGATATGAATTATTCAGATTGTCTCAACATTTGATTATTTTACAGGCATTTTGTTCTTGATAAGAATAGTAATAAGAGTTTGTCTCCTCTTGCTTGCCGCTGTTATGATCTTCTTGATTGCTTCCATTATCGTTATCGTCATTTTAGAAGGGCAGAGCTGGAAGGGACCTTATGGATCATTGTGTCCAGCCCCTATCAAGGAGGCACAGCCGAGATTCGAACTCCCAACCTCTGGCTCCCCATTAATATATTATTAAGCTCCTTTCTTTCTTTCTTTCTTTCTTTCTTTCTTTCTTTCTTTCTTTCTTTCTTTCTTTCTTTCTTTCTTTCTTTCTTTCTTTCTTTCTTTCTTTCTTTTTCCTTCTGTCTTTCTGTCTTTCTCTCTTTCTTTCTTCAAAGGCTATCATGAGGGCTAGCAACATGGTTTGTTTTAAAAAGCGAAGCTGATATTTTCAGACTGCTCCATATGCACCCAATTCTGTGTTTTTACATGGTGGGTGATGAGATTGCCCTTCCTTAGTCTGACTTGGACTTGGCCTCTAAAATCTTTCAGCCTCTAGAAGACTTAAGCCTTCATGTCTTGTAGCCCCTTGCACCCGTTCTCTCCTTGGTGGGGCTGATTGTACTTGTAGATCAAAACATATGGAGAACTAAATTTTATTAGTCTTATACTGAAGGTCATCAGCGGTGTCGTTTTCCAAGGATGCTAACACTTTTCTCATTTCCCTTTCTTTTACCGTCATGTCTCTTGCAATAAAAGATTGATTTATGAAAAACTATATATGAATAAATGGGTCTATTTCTTATTCCGGACTGTGCACGGGTCTCTGTTTTTAATTTGGGATTTGTAGTTAGTTGAGCGGCACCGAGCTGCCTTGAAACACCTTGTGAGGAGATGACCTTCAATGGCCAGCTGGTGGAGCTGTTGCTTCAGCAAGGACCCCAGAGAGCGGGAGCAAAGCCATTCACAAATTGCTGGGCTTCCCTTACCTCTTTCTTGTTTCCTTTCCTGCGCCAGGCGTCGACCGCCACGGCCACGGCCGAACTCTTGAAACGGCAGGAAGAGCTGAACCGCAAAGCAGAAGAGTTGGACCGGAGGGAGCGAGAATTGCAGAACGCCGCTCTCGGAAGCGGGGCAGGTAAGGGTCGCTTTGGGTCACAAGAAGACTCTTTCCCGCGTCTCTGGAGTATCTGCTGAGTTCACGCGTTCTCCTTATTTTGTGCTTGTAGCCAGACAGAACAACTGGCCTCCGTTACCCTCCTTCTGTCCTGTGCAGCCGTGTTTCTATCAAGATATCCCAGTAGAAATCCCCGTGGAGTCCCAGAAAACAGTCACTACGATGTACTACCTCTGGATGGGTGAGTATTTGAACCCCAAAAAGCCACAGTTTAGTGGGGGGAATAGATTTCTATTTTAGCTACCTTTATAACCTACTGCTCTTCCTCTGGGTGGGCAGAATGGTACAGTCGTGCCCCGCTTTACGATTACCCCGTTTAACGATGAATCCGCTTGACAACGATGCTTTTTCGATTGCAAAATGATGGTTTGAATGGGGTTCTTCTGCTTTGCAATGATCGGTTCCCTGCTTCGGGAACCGATTTTTGCTTTACGACGATCAAAGACAGCTGATCGTCGGGTTTCAAAATGGCCACCAGGTGTACAAAATGGCTCCCTGCTGTGTTTAGGAGCCATTTTTTGCTTTACAGTCACCTGGAAATGGCCACCCCTATGGAAGATCTTCGCTGGACCGTGAGTTTTCAGCCCATTGGAACGCATTGAACGGTTTTCAGTGCATTTCAATGGGCTTTTTTATTTCGCTTTACGACATTTTCGCTCTACAGCGATTTCACTGGAACGAATTAACGTCGTTAAGCGAGGCACCACTGTATTATCTGGCTCGCTTCCTACTTTATTGTCACTCAAAATGAGATTTTCAGGTTTTTCTGGGCTACAAATACCATTATTTTCTGTTGGGGGGGTTCTGACTACTTTGAGGGCACCTGACCAGCGCCTGAGTGGGAGAAAGTCTTAAATTTGAACGTTGTGAGGTGTCGCTAGGCCTAGTTCCGCACCAGGCTTCCTGCTCAGAAAGAAAGCTCCCAGCTAGCACTGGGACAGGAACAGGAAGCTTGGGTGCAGCTCGGCTGAGCTCGGCCTCAGAGCCTTTCATTTAAGGCCTTCCTCCCAGGTGAGCTTAAGGAAGCCATTCAGGGAAGAGACCTTTGGGTCGTGTGGGCGGCGTATAAGTGAAATAAACAAATAAATAAAATTAAAAGGTTGCTACAGCGTGGAAATTTCAGAGCTGGACATGCCTCTGAGAGGTGCAAAATCAAAAGAAGACTTTTAGATTGGCACGGCTGAGGGCAACTTCTACCAGTTCCCCTCAAACATTCCCAATCCTTCTGAATTTTTAGCCAAAGACCTTGCAGTCGTTTCTTTGGAGTTTTCCTCGTGGGGACCCGCGGCGCTGGAAGCTGCTTGGGTCTTGAAAGGGGCATCGAGGCCCCTTAGCCTTCCAAAAGACCTGCTCTTGGCAGAGGTGCTGTGGTTTGGAGCTGGTTTCTCGAGAAATGAAGTCCCTGCATGTCCTGCCCTTCATGGCAGTGTGGTTGGTGAACTGTCCCCCCTCGTTCCCCCCCCAGATCCACATTTTCATGATCATATTTTTCTTTCTCTTGTTTTTTTCAGCCAGCACGGGCACCCTGCTGTTCAACTTCCTGGCATCGCTGGCCTGGTTCTGCGTGGACACCTCGTCTGGCTCGGGTTTCGGCCTCTCCATCCTGTGGGCCTTGGTCTTCACGCCGTGCTCTTTCCTCTGCTGGTATCGGCCCATGTATAAGGCCTTTAGGTAAGCCGTCCATTGCTCTCTGGGACGGTCGGTGGACGTGGTGGCGCTGCGGGTTAACCCTCTGTGCTGCAGGGTCGGAAGACCAGCCGTCGTAAGATCGAATCCCCGCAGCGGAGGGAGCTCCCGTCGGTTGTCCCAGCTCCTGCCAACCTAGCCGTTCAAAAGCATGTAAAAATACGAGTTGATAAATAGGGACCACCTCGGTGGGAAGGTCACGGTGTTCCGTATCTAGTCGCGCTGGCCACGTGACCACGGAAACTGTCGTCGGACAAACGCTGGCTCTATGGCTTGGAAACAGGGATGGTTGAGGCCTAGCGAGGCCTAGCTTCCTGTTCAGCATGGAAACTCCCAGCTGGCACTGGAACAGGAAGCTTGGATGGAACTAGGCTGAGCTCAAAGCTTTCCTGCTTTGAGGCCTTTCTCCCAGGTGAGCCACTCTGAGCTGCCTGCCTGTCACAGAGAAGGTCAAAAAAGGGGGAATGGTAGTTGAGGAAGTGCTACAATCCCTTACCTAAGAGTTATCTTTTTACTCGTACAGTGGTGCCTCGCTTAACGACGATAATCCGTTCCAGGAAAATCGCAGTTAAGCGAAAACATTATAAAGCGAAAATAAAAACCCCATTGAAACGCATTGAAACCCGTTCAATGTGTTCCAGTGGGGTAAAAACTCACTGTCCAGCGAAGATCTTCCATACGGTGGTCACTTTCGCTGCCTGTGTAGCGAGGAATCCGTCCCTAAACACAGCAGGGAGCCATTTTAATCACCCGGCGGCCATTTTGAAACCACTGATCAGCTGTTCGAAAAACGTCATTTTGCGAAGAATCGGTTCCTGAAGCAGGGAATGGCGGGGAGCCATTTTAATCACCATTTTGAAACTACAGATCAGCTGTTCAAAAAACATTTTGCGAAGAATCAGTTCCTGAAGCAGGGAACCGATCATCGCAAAGCGAAATTCCCCCATTCAGACCATGGTTTTGCAGTCGCAATTGCGATCACAAAAAGATCATCATTAGGCGGTTTTGTAGTAATGTGGGGCAATCGTAAAGCGAGGCACCACTGTATGTAGATTGTGCACCTGAGCAAGAGTCCTGGAATATCTGGACCCGCTTTAAGGATGCTCAGAGAGGGTTTGCAGGTATGGCCCATCGTGGGACAGGACAGGATCATCCGGCAACAGGGATCCTTCTGGAAAGAGCCTACACGGGAAGAGACCCTAACGGTTCTGCTCTCCTTTTCTTGCAGGAGTGACAGCTCTTTCAACTTCTTCGTGTTCTTCTTCATTTTCTTTGCACAATCCGTGGTTTATGTTCTCCAGGCCATTGGCATTCCCGGTTGGGGGTTCAGGTAAGTACAGCAGGGACCTCTTATCCGCAGGATCAGTATCTGCTGATTCACTTATCCGCGGCTTGAAAATATTAAATTAAGAAACATCCCAACAAATATATATTCCTCAAGAGGGAGCCGGAGACCACGCTCACTGTTAAACTAGTGTTTGCCATTATCCCCATTTTTCATCATCTGCAAGGGCGTCTTGTAACTGATCCCTCGCGAATACTGTGTTAATGTTAACATTCTAGATTTAACGCATTATTTTTAAACTTTTTTTTGCTTCGGATTATGGGGTGGCTTGCGGGAGTCCCCAGAAAAATGACTCCGATGGAAAGTCATCGTCGGCTTTGACTGGAGACTTTTGCACCTGGGATAAAAAGAGGCACCTTTTAGACTGTAGGATGTCCTTGCAAGGTGTTGACGGGGTCCCAGGCTAAGGCAGATGGGAATTGTAGTCAAGAAATACATGGCTCAGGAGGATGGGGTTTGTAGTCCATATCTGAAGCCTCACCGCCTGACGTTAACGACCTCTGGGAAAGGAACAAGAATATATTGAGAAAATTAGTGCCTTTTTGGTGGGTGGAGTTTAGGGAATGCTGGCTATTCAGCCCCGATGAGCAGAGCCAAGCCGAGGAAAATCCTGGAAAGGGAGGCTCCAGAGGGCAGGGAAAAAACCCTAGTAAACAACTTTAAAACCACCCTGTGGTTTGCCAGCCTGGGGCCGGAGCTCAATTATTTAATATCCCTCCCTGATTATAGACAGAGAGATGCATTTATAGCTTTTTAAGGCTGCATCGGAGGATCACGGCCATGCTAAGTGGAGACTGAAGGCAGCTTGGCGGTGGCGATGGAGAAGCTTTTCTAATATGAGAAGATCTGGTGACTTAATCATTTTTGGTTTGTTTTTTCCCTCCAACATTACAAGATTGCTGAATTAGCTTTTCAGGCTGCCAAGAAAACGGAAGTTTCTGTCCCTTTTTTTTTAAAAAGGCATTTGGAATGCATACGAAATGCCTTGCTGGAGACTTGGCTTAATCTTTTGGTGTTTTTAAGTGATGAAAAATTCACCCTGCGAGTCATCTAAATAATCTTTTATCCCCTTGCAAGGCAGCAACGTCTAGGCTCGAAGGCTAGTTGATTTTTTTTAAATGCATTCTTTTGAACGAGGTGCTCAAATGGCAAAACTCCTTCAGCGGGAATCTTGGCTGGGGGAACCACATCTAAGGGAATGCTTTGTTTTGTCCAGATGTTTCCAGTTTTGCTGTTGACGGCATGCGCCTTCGTGTCCCGATTCTTGTTTGGATTGAGAGATAGATTGATGATACCTAGGCAAACACACCGTTGTCAGCCGGAGTGAATCTGCTTTCAGTGCGGTAGCACTTTCGTGCTGTTCCCTCTTACGGACTCGTGGGGTTTGCAATCTGGTTTTGGTGGGGCAACCCCGCTATCTGTGCAGCAGCTGAAATGAACGCCCTAAGACTCCCCGTTAGAGAATTTCTCACGGTTCCTGTTTTCCTTCTGCCCTGTCCCCTTCTGTGTTGCAGCGGTTGGATTGTGAGCCTCACAGCTTTGAAGGTGAATACTGGCGTGGCGATCCTTATGATCCTGGTCGCCCTGTCGTTTACAGCTATTGCCGGCCTGGGCATCATCATGCTGAAGCGAGTACGTATGGGGGGGGGGAATCGCAAACTGGGGTCTCCCTCTTTGTGTCTGTCAGTCGTCCGACACAAAGTCCAAGTTTATCTGGATGGAACATTTCTTTCTAAGTACCCAGTGGTGCTACTAAACAGGAACAAAAACCTTGCATTTTCCCCACTGCTTCCTGTAGGCATTTGTTCCAGGAGCTGGATTTGGCCCTATAAGACCTCCTTGGGGTGGAAGCTATTGATTTTGATCAGGGGACTGGAAACCAAGCTGGAGGAGGAGAGACAGAAAGAACTGGGCCGGTTTAGCCTTGAGAAAAAAAGACTGAGGGGGGATAGGAGAGTATTTTTCAAATACAATGGTGCCTCGCTTGATGAGGATAATTTGTTCCATTCAAATCGCTGTTAAGCGAAATCCTCATCAAGCAAAATGAAATAGCGATCGCAAAAAAAACTAATCGTCAAGTGATTTCCTTGTCTAACGTAATCGTCGAGTGAGGCACCACTGTACTTGAAAGGCTGTTCTACAAAGGAGCGGCAGGATCTGTTCTCCATCATCCCCACGAGCAGGACACATAATAATAATGGTCTGAAGTTTCATGAAGCCAGATTTAGGCTGAAAATCAGAAAAAACCTCTGCACGGTTAGAATAGTACAACAAGGGAACCCACGACCTCCGGAGGTGGAGAGCGCTCCAGCGCGAAATCAGAAAAAACATCTGCACTGTTAGAACAGTACAACAAGGGAACCCATGACCTCCGGAGGTGGAGAGCGCTCCAGCGCTAGGCGTTCAAGAGAAAATGGGGCCACCACCTGTCCGATCTGCTTTGATTTAGATCCCTGCCTTGAGCAGGGGGTTGGACTCGATGGCCTTAGAGAGCCCTTCCAGCTCCATCATCCTAGCATTCTAGGATTTATCACTAATCTACCGAAACAAGAACATTAGTGGGGGAAAAATCCAGCCGAGAAGATCATATTTAAAGGCTTTCCTCTACAATTTTGAAAGATCTGTTGTGTAAGATGAATGATTTCTAAGGTGGACTTTGCAGGGTCAGGAGAGCTGGTCAGAAGCTTTCCATTTGAGGTGTGTGATGTGTTTTCCTGCCTGCCTGGAGGATTATGGGAATTGTAGTCTGGGAACCATAAAGATGCACACCTCTCCTTTCATTTCTAATCAGCCCAAACCAGTAAGAATTTAGCACAGAAGATCCTTTTATTCAAGAGTTTCTCTGACGTCTTTAATATTTCACTGGTGCAGTAGAGGTATTGCCGAACTCTGCTTTTTCATATTTTGTCTTAGTCCAGATTTGTCGCTGAGTCTGTTTCCCGGTGTCTTCTGTTCCATCTTAGATCTTAGAAGACTTTTTTTCCAAAAGATTGGGACTCTTTCTTTTCTTAGGGTGTCTTCCATCCTGCCTGTCATAACGTGACTCCTTTTCTCTCTGCTCCTTCAGATCCACTCCCTCTACCGTAACACGGGGGCCAGCTTCCAGAAAGCCCAGGAAGAGTTTGCAGCCGGCGTGTTCTCCAACCAAGCCGTGCGCACCGCCGCCGCCAACGCGGCCACCGGGGCGGCCACCGGCGCCTTCCGAGGCTCGTAAGGCGAGAGGGGAGCATCTCACCAACCCCCTTCTGCTTTTCCTCTGGCCCTTTTTTCTCACGGGGGCAGCTTCGACGAAAACAAAAAACCACACACATACAAAACCAACCACCTTGCACTTCCGCCCTCCTGCTGGATGTCCCTCGTGCGTGCTGATGTTCGAAGGCTGTGCTCCCTCCTGCCCCTAATAAGTGACTCTCCCATTTCATGGTTCGGCGTGGGATTGCCTCTGTTGTTTTCTTCCGTGCGACCCCTTCCGGCTACAGGAACAATCGTTTCCTCCAGGGGGGCCGAAAGGGAGAGCCCGTTTCTGACTTTCTTCCCACCCACTCACCCCCACCACAAAAGGAGCTATGGAAAACGCCCTACACCGTGCCGTGGCTGACTCGGATCTGACCGTCTTCGGCTTTGCGCTCGTGTGTTGCCGACCCCACCAAACTGCAGGGGAACCCGTTCCCCTCGTTATTGCTCACCCCCTCTGTCTTTTGTCCCCAGTTCCATTCCTGTTGCGTCTGTAAGTGACTTGAGGCCGTTGTCTTCACAGATTCTCATCCTTCTCCCCCGCAATGATCCTCCTCTTTTCCCCATAGTCCCTTTCTCCAAGAGCATGACTGCTGGCTTCTGTTCCCTGCGCAATGCTCCTTCATGTCTGAACCTCGGTGTTAAAATCCGCCGGTTTCCTCCTTTCTCCACCCTGCACGCAGAGAGCGGTGGCAGGCAGTAAATGGCTCCCGGGCCCGCAGGTATTCAAAGGTGGATCCCTTTTATGATACGTTTTTCACCTGCAGGAGCCAGTTTCCGCGGCAAGGTTGACTCCTGTTGCTAGCGAGGACCCATGTGGTTCTATTTCTTTCCATGCGCCTGCCGTGTGCTTTGGTGTGCATTCACAACGCCAGGCGCCGATTGCTTAACAGGCGGTGTTTACCCCCTTGGGTCTACACCGGTTGGATTTAGGCTGGCACAAATATCCAGATGAGTTCTGGACAGTGTATGCTTGAGCTCTTCCTGCCTGTGCTTCCTAGGGCTTTATGTTGGAAGGGCCGCAAGGGGGCGCTAAGGGCTTAGCCAGGACCCTGCCTTTACGGCAGTCTGTAACCTGAATTATACTACAGTTTTGATGTGTTGTTGTTGTTGTTTTGCTGTGATTTTTTGCATACAACGCCAGAACTGTCTCCTTTACATGCCGTAGCTGCTTTCCAAGACCTCTGTTTTCCTCACCCTACATCCAGGGGGGTGCCCTCGCTGCCTTAGTTCTCTCCCACCCTGCCCCAACGTAAGTCTTGACCCCTAACCCTCTGGCTTCTGTCTTCTGTGCAGTTTGTCTTTAAAAAAAAGGAAACCTGGTTTTCGCCCCCCTCCTTGATCCCCTGACTGTTTTCTGTTTGTGAACCCCGAATGCTTAGAATCCTGCTTCTTTCACGACTGGCTTTTTCAGCTGTTATTCTACGGTGTGGCCACTTTTCTTCCGAGCAGCTCCAACCGATAGGCAGGCTTCCTTGCTGGAAAAGCTGTGTTCGGGATCCCTGTCTATCAGTCGCACAACAACCTTAGGAGGGAGACTGCACTGAGATGCTTCTGTGCCGCTTGTCTCCCGGTGGGGCTTTACGGCTAAGGCGGGATTCGAACCTGGTTCTTTCCAGATCCCATCTTCGCCAGAAGCAGGTCTTTTGGAGAGCCGACGGATCTTCATTGCCCGTTCCAGACCAGCCCATCTCTGGTTAGTGAGAAAGATCTCCCCACCCCACCTCTTCCCGAGCTTTGTTTCACCTCTGTATTTTATGTCTTAATAAATCTGTACAAACACTGGAAACAAATCAGGTGCGGCTTTACCTGGTGCGACTCCGCCACAGAGAATTCTGGGGTTTGTAGTTGACGAGAAGGCTCCGGATCCTCTGCTGTTGTTCCGGAGAGGGCACGAAAGCTGTCTAGCAGAGACTCCCGAGTCTCTCCTTAAAACTACATATCCCAGAATTTCATGCCATGGTGATCCTTTCAAGCAGCGGTTCCCAAGTTTAGATCCCTGGAGGTTCTTGAACTACCACTCCCAGAAGCCTCTACTCCAAGCTGTTCCAGGCAGGATTTCTGGGAGTCATAGTCCAAGAAATCTGGGGACCCAAATTCGGGAAACGCCGCTTTAACGCTATAACCACGTCGCATAGATGCATTATTGGCCTCTTGCCGGTTCTGGCTTTTGTCCGATCGTTGAGGACTAGCGCCTTTACTTAGCTCGCTCTAACGGTTTCACTGCTGACGATGCCCTCCCTCCAGACCCCCGTTGTCTTTCCTCCCCTATGTGCATCTCTGGAGTTAACTAGATCGATACCACGCGTTCAGCCTTTTTCCTGACTAACTGGACGAGTCTATTCCACACACACACCCCCAAAAACCCTTCCCATTGAACCTGCTGGACTTTTTTTTAAAAAAAAAACCGTTTGTGTTTGTGAGGTTCTGCCCGGCTCCCTTCTCATTTTGTTTTGCCGTGCCAAAATGCCAGGTGACTTATGGAACTTTATTTAAGAAATAAATGACATTTTAACTATTCTAGTCGACTGATGAGTGGCGGGTTTATTCTTTACAGCTTTTTAAATGTTCGAAATGGAGGGACTGAGGAACCCTTATGACCTTCCCCTTACGGACTCGATAATCCACGGGGTCCCTTCCAGCCTGGGCAATTCTAAGATTATGAGATCGCTCATGGTTTAGGAGGTTGGGAGTTCGAATCCCCCATGCCTCTTTGGCAGGTGATCCCTTCCAGGTCTAGTTTCCAAGTGATGATGATAATCTTCTGATTAATTTTTTTTCCTTCCAGGACCTTGGAGAGCTCCACCACCACACAGGGGAAAATGGTGTTTTTTCTTTTAGGTTTAGTATTTGCAAATTCTGCTCCTGGAATTTTGCTCTATAGACATCATCTTGTCTTCTAAGGTTCTCAGCCATGTGTGTGTGTGTTTAGTCGTTTAGACGTGTCCGACTCTTCGTGACCCCATGGACCAGAGCACGCCAGGCCCTCCTGTCTTCTACTGCCTCCCGGAGTTGGGTCAGGTTCATGTTGGTTGTTTCGCAGACACTGTCCAGCCATCTCATCCTCGGTCGTCCCCTTCTCCTCTTGCCATCACACTTTCCCAACATCAGGGTCTTTTCCAGGGAGTCTTTTCTTCTCATTAGATGGCCAAAGTACTGGAGCCTCAGCTTCAGGATCTGTCCTTCCAGTGAGCACTCAGGGTTGATTTCCTTTAGAACTGATAGGTTTGTTCTCCTTGCAGTCCAGGGGATTCTCAAGAGCCTCCTCCAGCACCACAATTCAAAGGCATCAATTCTTCGGCGGTCTGCTTTCTTTATGGTCCAGCTCTCACTTCCATACATCACGACAGGAAAAACCATAGCTTTGACTATTCGGACTTTTGTTGGCAAGGTGATGTCTCTGCTTTTCAAGATGCTGTCCAGATTTGTCATCGCTTTCCTCCCAAGAAGAAGGCGCCTTTTAATTTCAGGGCTTTAATTTCAGCCATAGAATAATCATTTCTTGTTAGGGCAGGTCTGACTTTCGATGACCCTTTTCAGGGTTTTCCACGAAGAGAAAGGTCAGAAGGAGTTTCCCATTCCTGTCTTGGATGGGTTCCTTGGGACAGTGCAGCTGGCCCAAGGCTACCCAGGCTGGCTCTTTCCCACAGCGGGGGAGGGGGGGATTCGAACTCCCAACCTCTGGCTCCACAGCTAGGGACCTAGGTCAGAAGGGGTTTCCCATTCCTGTCTTCCAGGGGCACCTTGGGACAGTGCAGCTGGCCCAAGGCTACCCAGGCTGGCTCTTTTCCACCATGGAGGGGATTCGAACTCACAACCTCTGGCTCCACAGCCAGATAACTCCACCACGGAGCTCTCCAGCCAGGTAGAGGCCTCTGAAGGCCTTTTGAAAACAAACAGGAGAATAATATTGGATCTTGGTTGCTTAAGGATGCGTGAGTTATTGCTGTTTATTTTATTTATTTATCCATTCGGCTGATATGCCGCCCGCCCTCTGCAAGAGTCTCCGGGCGGCTTCCAACATCCATTACGACAAATCAATTAAAACAAACACGCTAAAAACCAATACGGTTAAAACAGTCTGCAAAAACAATCTAGATCCATGGCTGTCAATTAAAATTAAAACCTTCAATAAAAAAAATTCCGGAACAGGAAGGTTTCAACCTGGCACTGAAATGTCAGTAAGGTCGGCGCCCATCGGATCCTGTTTGGGAGGGTGTTCCAGAGACCGGGGGGGGGGCTCCGCCTACAGGCCACCCCTATCGCCCCCCTAATGGATGGCTCTTTCAGGAGGGCCTTCTGGCTCATATGGAAGGAGGGGGTCCTTCGGGTACCCAGGGTCCCAGCCGTTTAGGGCTTTATAGGTCAAAACAAGCACTTTGAATTGGGCCAGTGGGAAAAAAGTTAGCCAGTGTAACCTAGCCAGAACCGGCTGAATACGGTCTCTCATGACTCCTTGAGCCACGCAGCTCGATTCCGAAGCGGTTGTAGTTGCTGGATTGTCTTCAAAGGCAGCCCCATGTGAAGCGCATGGCAGTAGTCTAGACGGGTTGTGAACTGTGACTGTCATGGGGCTCCGTTCGTCCAGGTAGGGCCATCCAGCTGGAACAGTTTCCGCAGATGCAGGAAGGCGCCCCCCGGCCACCGAGACCACCTGGACCTTCGGGGCCAGACCAGGGTCCAGGAGCACCCCCAAGGCCGCGGACCCTGTTCTTGACTGCTGTGGCATATCAAGAGAACATGTTTTTCCCTTCCGACTAAAATGCATTATTATCGTCTTCCAAGTCAATGTCGCTTCGCAAGATGGCTCCCACTCTCCTGCTGACTTTGCTCCATTTGGGATCCCTGTTCCCGGACAGGTTTCCTTGGCCCGTACAATGATAACATCATGGCTTTAACCCGTCCTGCGCATGGGTCTCCACGTCTGAGCGAAGACTTGACCTCTGTTTCCCTGCCTCCTGTCTCTCCTCTTTTCTACTGTGTCACACCAAGTCCCAGAAATGAACACGCCTTGAATGGCGTTCTAAGCCATTATTTTAGAGGTGATCTGAGTGTCTTCGAGCAACACCCTGGGCATGTTTATTCAAAGTGAATCCTTCTGGAAATCCCATGGGCTCCCAGAGACCGCCGCCTGAAAGTTTATCAAGCAGCTGTACAGAGCTTTGGGTCAAGAACGGAGCCATTAAAAAAACCTGTGAAATACAGTATATTAAATAAAAAACATTAGGAGCCCCAACCGGTCTTAAATACATGCTTCGTAGATGCAGCTGGTGGCCACTTTGGCTGGTGGCGTGGTCGGTGGTGCTGGGGTGAACATGGTGGTCGGGACAAACAAGAATTATTCACACATTGAGCAGGAGGGGGAGCAAGGGTGGAGCCGTGATGGCCAGAAGCAGGACGCTCCCAATTTCATGGTGGTGGTGGGAATGGTGAATCCGCTCCGGGTTTGGTCCGAACACTGTGGGCGACGGCTTTTTGGTTTGCTCCGGCAGGACGGCTTTAAAAGCGAGCTTCACAGGCTGTCCAAGGTAAGCGAGAGATTTAAGGATTCGTTTTCCCCAGTTTCATTCTGTGAGTTTCTGTAGCGGAGGAGGGATTCGAACCCAGATCTCCAGGGTCCAAATCCTTCACTCCGTCCGCCACACCACACTACAGTGGGCTTATACTCTTTGTAAAGACAACAATGACAAACGGACAAGGGGAAGACATTGGAGAAGAGGCAGGGGTGAAAAAAGAAGGTGGAAAGGAACGGTCGGATGTTCTGGATCTGCTTAGGGGCAAATTCAGCACCATGGAGAACTCCTCTCTAACTTTCACACCAAAAGCAGCCGTCGATTTAACTGTGAAATCTGGCTTTGCTGACCTCGACTTTCCTTGTCTGGGACGGAAGCTGGCAAGAATGGGCTGGTTAAGGAAGCTCTGAGACTCAGATGGGGTGTCGCCCTCTTTGTCCTATGGAACTACCCTCCTCATGATGCGGAGGTACGATCGTTTTCCTTGCAAAGACCCATAAACTGGATCCTTTTCCAGAAGCCACCAGTACCATGCCTGACTACTAGGACGGACCCCCCTGCGAAGAATTTGGGGCCTTCTGAAATCCTGGCCTGGATTCAGGAGGTCCTCGCCTGCCCATCATCCGACCCATGGTCTGTTTTGCAACACAGCCAGGGAATGGAGGACCGACACTGGGATCCACACGACGTCTCGGGGCACAGAGTCCGGCCTTGCTGCCCCATCTCTGCCACATGATCAGTCGAAATGAGGTGTTTGGATTTCCTGGACTACAAATTCCATAATTCTCCCTTCTGGGAGTTCTGCCTGGCCTATGCGCACCGTAGAAACCCCCTAAATTTGGCTCGCCTGGGAGAAAGGCTTCAGCAGGAAGGCTTTGAGGCCTAGCTCCGCTCGAGCTTCCTGTTCAGAAAGAAAACTCCCAGCTAGCCGTGGGGCAGGAACAGGAAGCTCGGCCTAGCCAGGCCTCAAAGCCGGTTAAGGCCTTTCTCCCAGGCGAGCCACATTTAGGGGCCTGTCGGGGAGAACTCTGGGAATGGAGAATTGTGGGAGTTGTAGTCTAGAACATTAAAATAAGCCCCATCCCCAGTCATAAGAGCTCACACTGGCGATATCGCAGTTCTTTCGCCGCTGAGTCTCCAGTTTTGACCCAGAAATCTCAGAGAAATAAATGCTACTGACATGGCACCTATATTCGTCACAGCCCAGATTCGCTACTCATGGTAGGGCTGGCCTATGAGCAGATTGATATTTCAGGAAGCTGAAAAATGAATTGAGAGTGGACAGTTGCCAGGAGAAAATGGATTGAATGTTTTGGCTCTTCCCCTTTAGGAGTCTGGGGTGTAAAACTAGGTGACAGTACCTCTGAGCAAGTGCAGAGAGCATTCACGTCACCCAAGACACTAGCTAATGCCTGTGTGTCAGAAATCTCAGAGAACCGGGATTTCCTGCTTAAGGGGTCGGTGCCTGTTTTTAATCTCACACCTGTGTTCGGAGGAACAAGTTACAGCAAACAAAGTAACTAGTAATAGAAATAAATATCCCAGTAACTAGTTACTCGAGGGTAATGAGAGTGTGACGCAGTTACATTTCAGAAGTTAGGGAACCCGAAAGGTGGTGACGTTAAGAGCAAGAGAACACAAAAATAATTTGCATGGTCTACAACAAGGAGAAGTTACTTTTCAAATAACGGACGGGGAACGGGTTCGAATTACTTCCTAAAATCAGGTTTCCAAGATCTGGTTTTTCTTTTCTGGAAATGCAGGATTGGGTAGGGTGACGGGACAGGCGACCGGGAGCCCGATTTTTCCCGAGCGCGCCGACACGTGTCTTTAGGGGCTGCGCAAAAAGCTTTCTTGGCTTGCTCTCTCTCTCTCTCCACCGCCACCTGCCCGGACGTTTCCCTAAGGTGCCGGGGCTGTGTGCATATTTTTGTGTGTTTTGTGTCGGGGAAGGGAGAAATCCCAGGGGGGGAGGCTCTGAGGTTACACCAGTTGGGGTTTCGCCAGCTCTGGCT